AGTCGCCATACTTTCAATGAGTTGCCATTGTCGTCATAACTTTATTGACTTGCCACAGAGTGCATACTTTTATTGACTTGCCAAATAATGCATAATTTTATTGAGTTTGCATAATGTTCATAACTTTATTTAGCTGCCATACAGGATATAGAGTTAAAATAAAAATAAAAAGTGTTGGTGCATTATAATTTTGTCAAAACATAGACGTAAACATGAATTTGAAGTGGGCCTAATTTTTGAAAGAAGTGAAACGTTGATAATTTGTTAAAATTGAAAATTGCGTACGCTTACAAAAAAACGATCTTTGTACAATTTACCTTGCCCATGTCTACGAATTTACTTTTTTTATATTGTATTTAAATTATATTATTACGAAAATAGAAACAATTTATTACAGCTTACGAAAATACCACTTGCCGACCCGAAACATATCCGAATAAAAACAACTGCTTCTGTCTGTAGAGGGCGAACTGCTTTCCCACAATTCCATGCCAGCTAGAAGCTATACAGAAACCATTTTGGAAGTTGCTTTGTGGAGATATTCTACTACAATAATCGAAAATGCCGCGAATTAATATTAAAGGCGGTGTGTGGAGAAACACTGAGGTAAGTGTGGATCGCAATTTATTATGTAAACATAATATTTATATCTGAACTAACTGTGTCCCAAATCTTGGACAGGGAACACAATTACAAATGTGTCAACAAGCAGTCTCCGTGAACTGAAAAGCATGAACGTCAGCAAGACGTTTCCCCCGCGATGGAAAGATAATTTTACAAACTAATCAGTTACGCAATAAGCGTGTATAGTTCATGTATGTCGAGTTGTAAGGGATTATATAATAACGTGGTACCACAATGAGCCCATATGAGAACTTTCCGGGCCTCCTATAAATTGTACGTTTCGTGCACATGTGTTGGCCAGGGTCGTTCACCTTTTCGTAAACACTTAATGGGTTTCCTTAAATACAACATCCCTTTGCACTACTACTATCTAGTATGTCACACTAGTACTAACACTAGTTATAGCGCAACCGAATCATGATACTGCTTTGCATACAATAATTACGATTATTTTTGCCTTTCCATAACATACTTTGTGATCATATAATGTATACACTATTCATATCATGAAGTAGCCCCATCCATGGTTTCATTTGGAAGCATTAATCTGGTCAATTGATACATTCACTCTCCCAACGACAGTCATGGTTCAGCGTGTGCAAATTTACTGAAATCATTCTTTGCTCTCATAGTGGTGTAATAGACCCCTCCCCAATTTTTCCTTGATCATCTTGGACTGGTACAAGAATGTAATTGGAAATGTTTTTGCCCAGCATATTTGGGACAATGCAGCTTTGTATGCTCCTATATTTTAGAAAGGTTTCAATAATGAATAATTAGGAAAATTAATTCCATTCAATGAGTTCATGAGATTAAGACTATAAAGAGCAAACAAAATTATTTGTGTTTGTCAAATCTACTTTAATCAAAACCAAAGTTATCAGTGAATTAGTAAGAAAGTTTGCTAACTTGCTTTCCCAATGCTTCTGCGACTTGCTGTATAGTTACCAAAATCAACCCTCGATGTAAAAATGCTCATACATCAGGATCCTACCTATCAATAGGTACATAGGGGTATAGCAGATTTGAATGGTACATGTATATAACAGTGTCAGATGTTGCACTTTCTGACCCTTACCTACCCCATACTTATCGTGCTAAATTCTCCCCAGTACTGCATACCGGTAATCCTAATTGTTGTTCTCAGTATCTTATGTAAATAAAACTGCTTTCCCAAGGTGAGACTGTGCATCCATATTTTACATCATTACTGAATATGTCGGTCAATATCACACGTTTTGAATGACAATAAAATAGAGATATTAAAAACTCTGCAACCTAAGCTGTGGGCCACCTTGGCATTTACAGGATCACCATGGTGGATCCAACTGTAAATATGTTCACAAATGATAATCAAGCCAAGTTGGCCATCTCTTATTATGTGAAAATCAAACATAGCAGTGTAATATTTATATAGAATTTTGCCTATGCTTACATATGAAGTTTTATTTGATGTTTGTTTGCAGGATGAGATCTTGAAAGCGGCTGTTATGAAATATGGCAAAAATCAGTGGTCACGTATTGCATCACTTTTACACAGAAAATCAGCCAAACAATGTAAAGCTAGATGGTAAATACTGTAAAATGACTAATTTTCACTGGGTTTAAATTTCACTGATTTACTATTTCAGGCATATTCAGTGGGTTTTAAATTCACGGTTTTATCATTTAGATAATGTGTTCTATGCTAAATTTTACATATTCACTGTGTTTTAATTTAGCGCATTTTTCCAGTCAGCGAAATAAGCTAAATTAAAAACCCAGTCAATAATTGCCCCCTTTACAGTACTCCCTTTTCAGTCTCAATTAAAGCTTAAAAACCACCATCCAGACTTTATACATCGGTATTCATTTCTTCTTTCATTTCGCCTTTGAGGGGAGTTTCTAGTATTAAAAATAATTTATTGAAATCCACATATCCGCATTTTGGATGTACAAGTAGATAAAAGTGCAATATAGTTTGAGCAAATATTAAGAAAACAATGGATGTATGAACGCATGTACTGTTGAGTTTATTTATGGTTAATCACATTACAGTGTATATTACTATGCAAAGAATGTTGTGCAAATTAGGCATCACATGAACTATTCTGCGTGTTCCATTATAACATTATTATCCGCATTTTGGATGTACATTACTATGCAAAGAATGTTATGCAAATTAGGCATCACTTGAACTAAATCATTACGTTCAATTACCCACCATATAGACTCCGGTCAGTCAAAATAACTATTTTGAACGGTAGGCATTACTCTGTGGTTCAGCCAATGACAGAGAGAAATCTAGCTCAGGGGAAGTCCAATGATGTCATAGACTATCTTCCACATCAGTAATATGTAACCGAGGCGAAGAGGTCAGCGCCATCTTGCCTTATCTTCACTCCCTGTTTTCTCCGCATCGCATGTTTCATTATAACAAAAACAACATATTTTAACAAATTTACATTAGCATGATGGTTGTGGCCCTATTAATCTTTATCATTGCAATGGCTTGCTTAATCTACAATCCCCGTGTTGTTTCCCTAGGTATGAATGGTTGGATCCAAGCATCAAGAAAACCGAATGGAGTCGAGAAGAAGACGAAAAGTTATTACATCTTGCTAAATTGATGCCAACACAATGGAGAACAATTGCACCAATCGTAGGAAGAACGGCCGCTCAGTGTTTAGAGAGATATGAACAGCTGTTGTAAGTGTTCAACCTTTTTACTCTCAAAGACAAATCCAAGAAAGAATCGCAGATTTATATCAGATTATGTAGCTTCTATTTGGTAGTGGTACTTTGTTTAGTAGCAATCGAGTGTGAGTTGCCCAGCTCTTCTTGTAAATGTTGCAACTCAGTTTGGATGTATTTCATAGAGTTCTTGCTATCTGCCCACGGACAAATAGCCATGGACTATGTGAAGCCATAATGCTAAACACACTACCCTGAGCTGCTAAGCCTCAGTGCAGAGAAAATTGTCTTTAGTTTGATACAGCCATGCCTTTGATATATCTAATTGGTAAATTGTAATAATTTCAATCTTTCAATTCCCAACTGTAACCTAGAATGTTTTCCTCATAACTTATAAAATCTCACTCATATGCACATTACTATTCTACACCAATGCCAGGTGTTGTTGTATTGAGTCTTAGTATTACTATTTCCTTTTTTTTGATGATAATAGGGATCAAGCCCAGCAGAAAGAAGGAGATGCCGAGATGGATGATCCACGCAAGTTAAAACCTGGAGAAATAGACCCAAATCCAGAAACCAAACCAGCTAGGCCTGATCCTATTGACATGGATGAAGATGGTAAGTTTAAATTTCAAAGCCTTAATATAGGTCCTCCTCTTTTAAATAATCTATAATCGTCCATACTCACTTATTGTACAAATCCTAACTGTCTGAAAAATATTTTGATATAGTGAAACTTCAAATATCTGAATTGTGGTCTGTGCAAAATTTGTTTAGATGAGGGGTCCCATAATTGACCAAATTGCTAATCAGAACTTGAAAAGTGTTTAATTTTTTGGTTCCAAAAACAGCAACCTCTCGTTTAATTTGACTCTGATGCACCCTATACATTCGTGTATTCTTGTAAATGTACATGTAGTTCTGTCATATTAATGTTATCTTTTCTGTAGAATTGGAAATGCTGTCAGAGGCCAGAGCACGTTTAGCTAACACACAGGGAAAAAAAGCCAAAAGAAAAGCCAGAGAAAAACAACTTGAAGAAGCTCGAAGATTGGCTGCATTGCAGAAAAGACGAGAACTGAGAGCGGCTGGTATTGAGATCCACAAACATAGAAAAAAGAAACGTGGTGTTGATTATAATGCTGAGATTCCATTTGAAAAGAAACCTGCACCTGGATTCTATGATGTTTCAGATGAAACCGTTTCTGAATTAGATCCTAATTTCAAGAGATTAAGACAACAAGATATGGATGGCCTTAGACGAGACGAAATTGAAGAGGTAAAAAGATGTTTTGATAACTGCTCCTTTGAACATGTCATCAGACAGGCAAATGAATATAAACTAGAACTGTTCCTGTAGCCGGCAAAGCTATACAATACAACAAAGAAAACAAAACTGATACTGTGGAATACTTTATTTTCGCTGTAATTAATTTTTGCTGAAAAGGCTTTTTAGGCGTTTTGTATGGAATTTATTGTCACTGATTTTTGATGAGTTTAATGTGAAATATAGGAAAAAAGTATATTCGCTGGATTTTTTTTTTTTCACGGAATCATCCCTTCAGCGAAAATAGCGAAAATAAAGTATTCTACAGTAACTTAGATTATGGAAGTTTTGTTAGTGATATGAAGTGTAAAGTCTAATTATGATAATTTACCGATAGTAAATCTAAACTAAGTGTTGCCTGACTATTAGTCTTACTATATGCTCATTAGACAACAGTCAAAGAAACATCTAAAATATTAAGTATGTGAATTTTCAAAGACTGTCTCCGTCACTTGTGGCCATTTGGTCTTGGTGTACTGTTAAAGGGTCTTGCTCGCACTGAAGCAACCTAACTGTGTGTCTTCATTGATTAGCGACGGGTGATGCTGTCTGTATTGGCTTTAAGAATCGATGGATGTTGTGTTTGAAGTTCAAATATCACACACATAAATACATGTTGGACTTTTGAGCTATGGTTTTCGACAGGATAGGATTGTTTTTGAAACTCAAGAATCGCACCTACCAATTGCTGTTATTATTTACCTAAGTGTGTTCACTGTGTGGTTAGTGTATTTGAAGTACATACGTCATATTCTGCTTATGTCTATTTACAGAGGGAAAGAAAGAAAGATAAACAAAAACTGAAAAGGAAGAAAGAAAATGATTTGCCTTCAGCTATTGCACAGACCAATAAGTAAGTATCATAGATTGTTCAAGAATGGTTTTCATTGTTTACGTTGCATATCTATATTTATTTTTGTGCACAGGTTTGAAACTAGTGATGATCAAAATTCCAATATTATTCGTAATATGGCTGCCACTGTGTTAATTCGATATGAGAACTTAGTGTCATGATTCGCTATGAAGAAGACTAGTTGGCACTCTACACTCAGATTACATGTTTGTGATTGATACTTCAGATTTCAAGAGCCTGTGAAAAAACGAAGCAAACTTGTGTTGCCATCTCCACAGATATCAGAACAAGAGCTAGAAGAGGTAAACTAATGCGTATATATTTTTCTTGATTAGTAGTACTGCAAAATAAGTTTTTATGAAAGTTGGTAAAGTGTTTAGCAGTACTGTGCCTGGTAGCAATGGTTCATTGTTGTTACCATATTTGCTTGATTAGTAAGCACATGTGCTTAGGCAAATGATGGAGGTGTGTTTATGTCAGGTCTAATTAAGTTGTATTTTAATGACCCAACATACTAAATATTTTATTTTAGCTGGAATTAATTTCCGCTGAAAAGATTTTTGGGTATTTTATATGGTATTTATTTTCACTGATTTCTGACCAGTTGAATGTAAATATAGAAAAAAATGTATATTTGCTGAATTTTTTTTCCTGAATCATTTCTTCAGTGGAAATTAATTCCAAGCGAAAATAAAGTATTTTACAGTATGCCATTTTGGGTTTAGAGATACGCAGATAAAGTGAATGGTTTTGAAATTTTCATATTAGTGTTCCCATAAATTTGTCATTGGTACGTTTATACCAAACCAAAGTTTATTTTTCTATTTTAGGTTGTTAAATTGGGTCATGCCAGTGAGAATGCTAGACTGACAGCCGAGGAAGGAGGCTCTATGAATGGCCCATCACAGGCTTTGTTATCAGATTATTCAGTCACACCCCAGATCACAAGTTTAAGAACACCAAAAGTACCAGCATCTCAAGATACAGTATTACAGGTATGTGTTCACATAATTTGTGTTTATTTGAGCAATATAACGCTATTTGTCTAAAAAATTATTGAGCGTTTAATTTAGAAATGCTCATTGATGAGTGGTATAAATTCACTGATTGGTTTATTTGAATTTGTGTTGCCGGGATTATTTTTGTTAAGTGTTTATTTTCAAACAAATTCTTTGATAAGTGTTCAATTTAAGAACATTTAAATAATAAGAGTAAGATAAATAAATAGTAAGATGTGTAAATTTTTTGTGTACTTTTGATGATTTTTTTTTTCTTCAAGAAGTAAGAAAGATTTAGCAACATACATTCCATTAATAATTTTTATTTCTGTGATAAGTGTTGAAGATCAAATAAATGTTTAAACACGTTGCTTGCTGAAAACTAGACTGTCGACAGTTCTCGGACCTAATAAAGAGTCACTTTCAAACGGCGTAGGCATTTTATCAAAATGGCGAAGTCATTTCAAGCGAGGGTCGTAAGGCCTGAGAGACTGTTATAACATGTAACGCCCTCGTATGGCATTACATGGAGATTGCCCGGTGACTTCCTGCT